TGGATCTTGACATATCAAGACCATTACCAAGACTATGATGCAACTCAAGTTATCCATATTCCCCCAAAAACCGCCAATCCTCTCCTGTCCTCAGTTTTTCTGCTTGGTACTACCCCATACTCACACCCTGAGAACACACTACAGTGATGATAGTTCGGGTAGGAGATCTTCGTTAACAGAGGTGATCCCCAGACCCTATTGGTCCAGTTCTTCTCTCTAACTCTGCATGTGTTCTTACCTTTTTGCAGTGGTAACGTGGACCCAGGTTGCTCTTTCTGCTATTCTAATGGCAAAGGCAGTGACCAATAAAACCTGATAGGGCCCTTCCCAACAGGCCTGCTTCCAGTTTTTTCTTCTTTAGGACTGGATGCTCACCAGTCACCTGGTTAGATAGAGTGGGTCACCTTCTCCTTTAGTTCACCTCTGACATACGGGTGTGGTTAATAAACTATCTTCACACGTGTTCAGCTCTCAATTTCTATTTCTGACTGCATTCTTTTTTCTAGACTTTTTTTTTTTTTGTTAAGTATTTGTCCTCTCCTTCGTATATATTTATTATTTAATCCTACCATCTCCTACCATCCCCCTTTGACACATGTTTTGCCCATGTGTCAATATTACCACCAACCTAAACAATCACTTAGTAATATTGGAAATTTATCATCCAATTGCCATCCCTTATTTTTAAATACTGCCTAACTTCACTACTGCTCCCCCTAGCCCTGGGCAACATTCCAATGAGATAAAATAATCTCTTTCTCCTGGTTATACATTTTGTTAACCTTCAATTACCATCAGTAATCTAAAGATGGTAGTACACACAAAACATGATACAGATATCCCCATTCTAACCCATCAATAATTGTTTGTATCAATCTAATTCCTCATAACTAATCCATAAAAACGAGTATACATGATTATTTAATTGATTACCCTAAATCTGCTACATGTGATCTCATCTCAAATGATCCATTATCAATTATTTGATCAACCCCCTAGGAAAATCTGTCTCCCCTTCTATTGTTCCTGTCCCCCCTGTAAATGTCATATTTCATTTTTTAGCCAATACAATCGCGGTTACATCAAATGTTCCCTCCTTTGGCCATTTAGTTACTATCTTTCTGGTCCTTTTTCTCATTTGTTAGAGATATTACCAATATCTTCACTATTTTTCTGGGGAAACCCTTTTCTTCATGATTGCTACTGGTGATCCTGCCATCTCTACTTCTGGTGTGGTCTAATGTCTATATTAGGGTGTAAGGTAAATTATTCCTGTTGTCTTTTTCAGCTAAACGTTTTATATCCCTCAGTTAATGGTATTTTCTCCCTAATATATCTTCATACTCTCCTTCTTTCCCTAAATGAGATTTAAATCCCTTGCCTTTCCTCTACTATCCTTCTATCATTACTGGATCAATGATAATAACTGTAATAACTATTAATAATAATTGTAATAACTATTTCACATTAAATTGTGCCTTTTTCTGATAATGTTATAATTGTAGCCTATTGCATTACTTTAGTTTAAAATATACGTTTGTTTATTTAACAAATCTAGAACCCACTATAGGTTGGTGCTATTCCCTCAGCATAATAGCTAAAGCTACTTGCATCGCCTGAAACCCATTGCCCTCTAACGGCAGCCCAAACCTTACTATTCCTGTTTTGGGGTGGGTCATTCCTTCTACCCGCTCTGGCCACGTCCTATGTGTTTCATGGCCTGTCTGCTAAATGGCATATTATTATTACTGTATACATCTAAGTTTGCTGGGGCCTCTTTCATTCCCCGCCAATAGATTAGGTAAGGCTATCAGTGGGTACTGGCCCCCTCCTACTCTCTCTCTCTCTCTCTCACTGCTTCTTTAAATTTACCCCTACGCGGTTCCCCTCCTGTTTCCACTCCGAACAGGTTTTTGTCCGTTTTTCGTTTTTAACGTAATATTCGTCCGTTATTTCAAGTACGTTAGTCTATTTATTTAAATCAAATTATTCCCACCTAATTAGTTAAAGTCGGTGCATATTTATATTTCAACGATAAACCAAATTATTTCAGTCTAATTATTTAACCAGTATTTTGCAGGTCAAACATCAAACATTAAATTAATGTGGCGTCAACATAAAACATTTATATTTGGGAACTTAATCACATCAAGCCAATATCATTGTTGTTGAACATCCAACGTTAAGTTGAATAATATATCAAATTTCACTTAATTTCTTCTTTAAAACCAGTATTATGTTATTTCAAACACCAACGTTACAGTTTAATTATATCAGTTCAATCATTTCAATTTAGTTATATTGACTATTCATTATCTTTGCCTTTATATTGTCCAAATTCAACCTCGCCTACTATCCCCCCTCCCTATCTAAAAAATACTCCGCTGAACCTAGCCGTACCCTCGTATTACGGACCTTGCCAGTCGCTAGTATTTATCTAAAATTTCCCGAACCTAGCCGTACCCTCGTAGTTACGGACCTTGCCCGGGGTAATTCTTCGAACCTAGCCGTACCCTCGTAGTTACGGACCTTGCCGATAGCAATTACTAATTCAATTATTCCCTGTATCTTCGAACCTAGCCGTACCCTCGTAGTTACGGACCTTGCCGATAGATTTCAGTATTTTCCCCGAACCTACCCATACCCTCGTAGTTACGGACCTTGCCGGTAGAACAATACTCTATGGTACCATGGTTTAACATCACATTCCCACAGTTTGCATGTCACAATATGGTGCTATCTACTCATAATAATTCGTATAATAATTCATAATTTAGTTCACTTACCCTCAAACAGGTGTTTCACAAAAATAATTTGGATAAAGCCAATGTGCAGAACTTTAGTTATATAACATAGGTGTCTGCTTACCTGTTTTTAGTTGTCCGGACTCTTTGTGAAACAAACCGTCCAACGACAGCGATGTCCAATCGGCCGACAATACCCAGCGAAGTCCCCCTACCAGATCACGTCGGCGGTCCACCAATTGTTAAGTTGCGTCAATTCAAATCTGGTATAGGACAAAAAGAGGTCAATACACGTCTTCTAAATAGACTAGTATTTTAATTAATGCAAACACTTGAATGGTAAATATGATGTTCATATATACGGGCCCACTGAAAAACCACGCAGGGCATCAGAGAACTGAGCTATTGTTATAAGTTCTTCTTTAAATACTCTGACAGAGATAGTTCCCGCTCCCTGCTGGGCCTGTCAGAGTAGAGGCTGGGTGTGGTTTAAACTTACCCAACCTATCGTTGGCGCTCAGGCTGGTCCCAGCCCCTTGGGGCTTCACTGTTACCGGGCATTAGTTGTTATCTTTACAACTTGTCTCGAGTCAGCAACCTCAGACATAGTTTGTCCTTCTTTGTAGCAGAACACATGTCCTTGAGCGGTTTAACAAAGAGGCTGTGTGTGTGAGTCACAATGTCACGATCGTCGAACAAGATGAGGACCAAGGCGCAGCGTTGCAGGCAAACATACTCTTTATTAGAGACACGATCAAAACCAACAAAACGAAACGTGACAGTACACGGTCTAACACAAAAGACTAGAAACATAGTCCAGCGGGCCTGGCGAGGATTCAGTCTCCTAGCTGCCCGGATGTATTCCAGGTTACGGTGGTCCGTCAAAATGAGGAAAGGGTGTTGAGCCCCCTCAAGCCAATGCCTCCACACCTTTAGGCCTGTACCACGGCTAACAGCTCCCTGTCCCCTACGTCATAATTCCGCTCCGCCGGACTGAGTTTTCTAGTCTGTTGTGTTAGACCGTGTACTGTCACCCTTTTTCGTTTTGGGTTTGTGTTTTGATCGTGTCTCTAATAAAAGAAAAGAATGCCTAACGGCTACCTAAGTATGACTCCCAATCAAGACACGAGCTACAGCCGTCTCTGATTGGGAGCCACCCTGGCCAAAATAGATATACAAAACCAAACAACACAAATGAAAACTCACACCCTGGCTCAACATACTAGAGTCCCCAGAGCCAGGGCGTGACACACAAGCCTGTCTCAGCCTACCCCCTAACGGTTCCTCACATTAATCACAGCTTGTTATGTTAAACAATCTATATCAGTACAGCACAACCTATTATGTTTAATCATTAATGTATTCTTTCTAAGCTAGGCATCACATCTAGTTGTAAGAAATAGATCCCCACAGTAATAACATTTATTTGATAGTAAAACATCCTGCCTGTTTTCAGATCCACTTCATTGTTTTGGTGACTTTGTATAATAAAGTTTTTCTGTAATGATTTGGTCCTTGGTACATTATATGTGCCTCAAACATTTCCCGCCATCAAGCCCCATAGCAAAAGCCACCTAGCCTCTTCTATGGGTTTCTTGATACAGTATTTTTGAACTTTATTAAAATATGTTTTTATGGAATGCCGACATTTTTATAAAAGATCATTTCGGAACAATGCGTAATTGCAATGCATTAAATCCATATCTATAATCTGTAAATACATTTTATTCATCAAAAGGTGAATATACTATAGTATATACCAAGCAAACGTTATACCTGGCTATTTTAGTATATATTCTGCCAAAATAATATTGTCAAAGTCTGTGAATGACAATTAGAAAGGGTTGTGGAGAAAATGTGTGCACTTTCATCAGTTTGTATTTTAAACAAAAAAACAAATTAAATGTACCCTATGCAGTATTCAATTTGTGCAATACAAAAGGTAATGGCTAGAATGGATGCAGCTAATGTCAAGTGACGTCAAAATGTGCATTTCCAGTCGCTTCAGGGAGAATTTTTTGCATTTCAGCTAACCCTATCCCTTTTCCTAACTTTAACCTAATTCTCCTAACCTGGTACGTTAATTACCTAATCTGCTGCTGCTGCGTAAATTCTTCTAACCTGCTACGAAAAGTCACTTCTGACATTAGCTGCATCCCATCTAGTTAGAAACAATTCAAATTGTGCTTCTGCTGGATCCCTCCATAGACAGCTCGTTGGTCAAATGTGATTGGTCCATATGAACACAACACCTCAGGAAGAAGGAAGTCATTAGCCAATGGGCATTGGCACAACTGGCAGGAGCAATCTAAACCCTTTCTAAAAGAAACACGTAACTCCAGAAATGTATACGGACATTAGGCGTATTTGCAAAGCACTGTAAAGCTATTTCCATATGGAATATAAACTCGGAATACAATTACGTATCCTATTGTTTGGAGATCGGCTTTAGATTCACTGGTGTCGGGAAATGACGGAGGCTGGTGAGTGTTTATTTAGGCTACGTCTTTGACCACTATAAATTTACGACTACTTCTATTCTGAATGTTTTCCACTTATTTAACTTTTAATCAATATCTAACTCTTACATTAATTCAATAATACTAGTATTCGTAGCCCAAAAAGCAGCACAAAGCGTTTTTTCCCCCGCATGCAGGTCATCAAATTCAGAATACAGTTTGACTGATGAGGGTCCTTGATATCTGGGACAAAGCTTCGTTATCACATCGCCAGTTTATCCAACAGTACGTACGTTAGTCCTATTTCATGTGTTCGGCCTGGTGTGAGAGATGTATTATGTTTATAATTGATGGGATGACTAACTTAGAAAGAATGCATTCTTGACTGGGCTAATGTAGGCTGTGACACCTGGCAAGCTGTGATTGATGTGAAGAGCTGTTTTAGGGGTGTAAAGGGAGATAGGATTTGTGTCTCCAATGCTAGACTATACTGGTTCTTTGTGATCTGTGGACCTTCCTTGGACGTAGGAATGGTGTCTAAGGGAGCTGGCTCTTCTCACTATGACAGGTTGTTATGATATGGACATATGCCTGTAACAGAGATGCATCAACGGATTGACTGAGTAAGTCTAAACCACGCTCAAGTCTCTACTCTAATTGGTCAGCAGAGAGGTGGGAAACTCCCTCTGTCAGAGTATTGAGCAAGAACCCAGAACAATGGGTTAGTTCTCTGGGGTGCCCTGCGAGGTATTCAGAGAGCCCGTATATACGAAACATCATATTTACCATTGAAGGTTTTTGCATTAATTAAATAACTAGTATATCTTAGAAGTCGTGTTGACCTCTTTTGTTCCTAATACCAGATTTGAATTGACGCAACTTTGACAATTGGTGACACTCCGACGTGATCTGGTAGAAGGACTACGCTGGGTAATGTCCGGCCCATTTGGTCACCTCTTTCATCGAACCGTGTGTTTCACAAAGTGCCCGGGCTCTAAAAAGGTAAGCAGATACCTATGTTAAATAACTAAACTTCTGCACATTGGCTTTTTCAAATTAATTTTGTTGAAACACCTGTCTGAGTAAGTGAACTAAATTATGAAACTATTATGAGTAGATAAGCACAATTTGGGACATGCAAACCTGTGATAAATGTGATGTTAAACCATGGTACCACAGGAGTATTGGTTCTACCGGCAAGGTCCGTGAGATACGGCTAGGTTCAGGAGACAATACTGACATCTACCGGCAAGGTCCGTAATTGCGACAATACGGCTAAGGTTCGGAGATATAGGGAATTATTGATTAAGTAATTGCTATCGGCAAGGTTCGTACTATGACAGTACGACTAAGGTTTGAAGAATTACACCGGCAAGGTCCGTAACTACGAGGATACGGCTAAGGTTCGGGAAATTTTAGATATAGGGAATAATTGATTTAAGTAATTGCTATCGGCAAGGTTCGTAACTACGACAGTATGACTAAGGTTCGAAGAATTACACGGCAGGTCCATAACTTTAAGGATATGGCTGGGTTCGGCAAATTTTGATAATACTGGTGACTGGCAAGGTCCGTAACTAAGGGTTGCGGCTAGGTTCAGCACAGTGTTTTGAATAAAATAGACGCGGCTGTGTGCCCAAATAGATTGTGTGTGGAGTGTAGGTGTGTCATTTATGACTGTGTGACATATTTGACTGTGTGATGGGTTATGACTGTATATTTGAGTGAGTGCGATAAGTGTGTACTATTTTTACTGTGTGATAACTGTATACTACTTAACTGTTGTACCATTTTTGGCTGTGAATACAAAGATATTTTAAAACAGTAAATAATGAGAACTACAATTAGGAAATAAAGTTTAAAGTGTGCAAACGTTAACAAAAGACACCCATAGGAGGTACTATAAAAAGTTAGACAGTGGCGAGGTGTTGTCGTATGCATGAAAGTGTGAATGATAAACCTGTATACCTTGATAGAAACACAATTGGGAATCAAAAGACGTTTGTGGCTGTTCAAACGGTATAATTTGGGAATAAATGTTGGATTTGTGGTTACTCAAACCATATAACCCGTCAGTGACAATCGAAAACATGAAATGAAAAGTGATGAATGAGTGTGACTGAACTAAAACGTTTGAACTGATATATTTGAAATATAACATTTGATGTTTGACATAGCGTAATACTGGTTTTAAATAAGTAAATTGAAGTGATATGGTGTGGCGTTTGATTTGATGTAACAAACCATTGGTTAATTAATTAAAACACTTGGGTTATTCGTTCAATATACCCATTTGATGTGTGGCACTGTAAGGATACTGCTTTCAAATAATTAAGGCTGAAATAAACGTGCACCAACTTAACTAATTAGGTGGGAATTATTTGATTTAAATAATAGACTGAAGTACTTTGAATAACGGCAGAATATTGGGAAACGCGCTAAAACGAGAAAACAGCTCCTCACAAGCTCCTCAAAAGCCTGTTCCCCCTGAACAGGAAAGAAGTAGAGTTGCGAGGGGAGGGGCTGGAGAGAGCGAAAGTGTGGCTTTTGGAGCCGGAGGAAAGACTGGGAGTTGGCTTGGAACGCATGTGGGTATCTGACGAGAGAATGTTACTAAACTTGCTCACCCGAACGCTAGACGTGCGTCATGGGTGAGAGAGTAGAGAATGTTACATTTGCATTTTGGTAATTTGGCAGACGCTCTTGTACTAGAGCGATTTATGGGAGCAATTGGGGTTGAGTACCTTGCTCGAGGGCACATCGGCAGATTTTTCGCCTGGTCGGCTCGGGGATTGGAACCGGCGACCTCTCGGTTTGTTGGCGCGGCGCTATAGATCACTAGGCTGCCTGCCGCCCCATATGAGTTTAAGGTTGTGGCGTTGTTGGATTATGTGATGGTGGAATAAACTAAGTAATGTTGTTTTAGACGTAATGTATAATACAGTACAAAGCAAATAGAGGGTTTAAATTGAACTAATTATCATGGTGAGAGCTAACGGTAGTACAGTGAGGGAACTTCATTTTTGTGTCAGAGGGTAAATGAGGAATCAGTAATAATGCTATTGGTGGAAATCTATTTATCATTTCAAGGCATGGAGTAACAATCTGCATTTATGAGTGTAAATTCCACAGCTGATTGTGTTGATTGAATGGTACGATGGAGTAGTTGGTTTTGGTAATGTTGAATGGACTATTTGTAGCGTACTTTGGGGTTAAATAGAAAAAACTCACGTATTCAATAGGGAATGGGTAAGAGAGAGAGAGTTTTATACGTGTATTAAAAGTTGCATAAGATAGCTTTAGTGGTATTCTAGATGGATCTATGAAATATGTTACAAGTACGAATGACATTATTTCCTAAGAAGGAAGATTGTAGGGACATTTCCCGCGCCTCCCCCATAATGTAGGAAGGAGCAGGAGAGGGGAAAGGAGATGGTAAGAGACAGGACATAGTTCAGATGGTAGGAATGTCATTAAGCGTATGCTGATAAACGATAGCAAGTATTTGTTTTATTAAATTAGGGCATAATCAGAGAGAACAGTTTAAAGAAATTGAATAGCGAACTGAAATGGGTTAGCGGGGAAAATACAAAATAGTTGGACAATTTTAGAACGATTAATTTATTTTGGTTAGGATGCAAGTATGCATTGGCTGTTGTGCTAGGGGAAATAGCGCCAGCCTGTGGTGGGTTCTGGATTGGTGAAACAGTGGGGACAGGAACAATAGAAGGGGAGACAGATTTTCCTAGAGGGTGAACAAATAATGATAATGGATCATTTGAGATGAGATCATATTAGCAGAGTTGGGTAATCAATTAAAATAATTCATTGTATACTCGAGGAATTTTGAGTGGTTTTGTGGATTAGCTTATGAGCAATTAGATTGATACAAACAATTATTGATTGGTTAAAGACTGGGGATATCTGTATCATATTTTGTGTTGTACTACCATCTTTAGATTATAACTAGGAGAAAGAGATTTAGCTCATCTCAGTTAGGCAGTATTTAGGTCATAAGATGGGAGCTACCAAATTAAGTTGAGCCTAACTATATCTGATTGTTATTTTTCATTGGGTTTTTCAAATAAAAAAATAAAAAAAACACACCCAGCATGATGTTTATAAAGGGTTGTTATGTTGAATTTAGGGGGATTTTCAACAGATCATGGGTGGTGTTTACTATGCTGTAGGATGGAACGGTTTGTTGGGGATATTTGAACCTAAATTAAGGAATAAGCTGCAGTAATCAGAGGAATGGTTATCACTAGGTAAATGGATAAAAACAGGGGAAAAACATTACTGACTGGCAGAATACACAAATGGGGATCAGTATGGCCACTCCACTGGGAGATATAGAAGAAAAAGTTGAATTGGAGAGCAAAAAACCCAGCCCAGGGTCCCACCTGGAGATAAGTTTTAACGGATGACAGGAAGAGATTTTCTTAACTCAGGAACAGGAGACTGAGTTAGCAGCAATTCCGTTCAAATTATGGTCACAAGGACAACAGATGTAGGACTAATTAAGGGGGTAGCTCCAGTACAAGTGATTCCTCGATCCGATAATAGACCATACCAAAAGCAATATACTATGAAACCAGAAGCCAATAAAAGGGATAACACCTACATTTGAGCATTTACTTAAGGGAGGGGTGATAATTCCTGGAGATGAGGCACAATGCAACTCTCCAGTATTTCCTGTTAAAAAGGCGGCACCTAGCGCCGACTGGAGGATGGTCATGGACTTGCAGGGGTTAATAGAAATATAATTCCCCAGAGTTCCATGTGTACCAGATCCACATACATTGCTGAACCAATTGAAACCAGAGAACTCCTATTTTACAGTGATGATTAGCTAATGCTTTCTTTAGTATCCCAGTTCATCCGGATAGTCAGGGGTGGTTTGGCTTTACTTTTCAGGGAAGGAAATGGACTTACGCTAGGATGCCTCAAGGCTACTCGGAAAGTCTTACAATCTTTGTCCAGGCTATAACTAGGAATTTGGGAAAGTTTGAACCTAGGGAAGGACGCCAAATGTTAGTTTATGTTGATGATATTCCATTGGCTAATCCCACTCAGGAGGGATGTAAGAAGGATACAATCCAATTGTTAACCTTCCTGGCAGAACAGGGACACAAAGTGAGCAAAAAGAAACTTCAACTTTGGCAGAGCGAGGTCATTTACCTAGGACACACTATAACACAGGAGGGGCGAATGTTAAACTCATCCAGGAAAACTGCTATATTTGAAGCGCCAAAACCGTTAAAACAAAAAACAAATGATGAGCTTTTTGGTAATGATAAACTGCTGTAAAACTTGGGTACTCCATTATGTACTGCATACAGGTAAATTAAGTGATCTTATCTATGGGAAGGCAATGGCAGCCCATGGTAAAATCATTTGGAACTCTGAGGAGGAAGAACAGTTTATGTTGTTGCTCTCTTCCCAAACAGTCTTAGCTTTTCATACATATATCAGGGATGTTATCTAAATGGTAGAGAGTAAAGAGGGATATGACATTGGTCGTGATTTAAAGATGATGAGGTTTTTTGGTGGGCTACTAGATATAACTGGGTTAATCATGAACATAGAGATTTTTATTCTTTGTTGCTAGACAGAAGACTTAGGTGACCTAGAAATAGACTTGTCATGTCCAACAATCAGTCTTCAGGTCAAGCCCGGGAGAGCCTGGGTAGAACAGAGTTTGAACTAAACATAAGTGTTTTTACAAGATAGAGATTGATTGATTGGATTACTAAATGATTCTGAACTGAATAAAAGTCGAATTTAGCTGCCATAAAAGACAAAGGAAGTGGGAGGAGCAATAAAGAAGCAATTGACAATCTCAAAAATGAAAGGCATGGCAATGGATGATAAATTACCTAAGGGATGGTTTAGAAAGGTGGTAATATTGACACATGGGCAAATCATGTGTCAAAAAGGGGGAGTGATAGGATTAAATAATAATGATAGGATTAAATAAAATAAAACTTTTTTTTTAAAAAACAATAGAAATTGAGAGCTCAACATGTATGTGTGAAGATAGTTTATTAACCACACCTGTATGTCAGAGGTTTTGTGACCCACAGGTGAACTAAAGGAGAAGGTGACCCACTCTATCTCACCAGGAGACTGGGTGTGGGTCCAGTCCCTAAAAGAAGAAAAACTGGAAGCAGGCCTGTTGGGAAGGGCCCTATCAAGTCCTATTAGATCCTGGGTGCATGTCACACACTGAAAAAAGGTAAACCCAGTTACACACCTGATGAACAAACACAGAGTTAGGAGAAAGAACCGATCACCATTAGGGCTCGGGGGTTGGCTCCTTAACGAAGATCCCCTTACCCCTGTCTGATCATCCCTGTGTGAGTTCGGTAGAAGGTGAAGTAATGGGTTGGCGTCTGACATGTTCTCAGGGCGAGGGTGGGGATTCACAGGTCTGTCTGATTGTGGGGGCCATATTCCTAACACACTCAAACCCTTCTGATCAGCCCAAAAGTAGTAGTTAACCTAACACAAGTTGATAAAATAATACCTGAGCACAGTCTACGAAGGCATAGGAGACAGCTAGACGTAGGGAAAGGGGACGTACTAGGGACTTTAGGGGAGGATATCACCATATGTATGTCACAATGTACATCCTGGGATTATGTAGTTGCTCATACCGAGCGTGGGGGATATGTAAATCTCCATACACAGTTTAGGGACAGGTGTAGTATTGTAAAAGTAGGGAATTACCAGAAATGGCAGTGCGACCCATTGAAGGGTAGGTACTGTCTGAAAGTCTGAAGTACGCAAAAACAGGTTTATCCTCCATGCAAGCCACCTGGGAATGTGGTGAAAGAGTCTTGTAGTAACTTGAACTATCTGTATCCCCCGATAACAAAGTCATTCCGACCTAGGTTGCCTACGTTTGAAGTCTCAGGGGATTCTAATTGTTTTTCTAGGACTAGTAAGATAGGATACAGAGTAGGGCATCTTAGCTCCTGCTCCTACACAGAGAATGTCACAACTAAAAGAGACCATGACTAATCTCTCCTCTTTGTTGCAGCCAGAGGATTTTAGGATCCAAAACCAGGCCCGTGCTGACATCTGATGGTTGTGTGGTGATAACTGATTGTGAATTCACCTACATACGCAAATAATCAAACGTGTCAGAGACTGGTGAGTTGTCACATAGAAAGTAGGACCTCCTCCCGGGATCCTTTGATGAAAGGATCCTTTGATGGGATAGGAGTACCTCTAGGGGTACCAGAAGAATTCAAAGCTAGGAATCAGATCGCAGTTGAGTTTGAATCAAGTCTTTTTTGGTGGTCAACAATTAATAAAAACGTAGATTGGATGAATTATATTTACTATAACCAGCAAAGATTTATAAAACCACACTCGTGATGCAATAAAGGGATTAGCTGAGCAGACAGCGGCAACTAGCTTAATGACATGGCAGAATAGAATAGCTTTAGATATGCTTTTGGCTGAGCGGGGCGGAGTTTTGTGTTCTGTTTGGATATATGTGCTGTATTTTCATCCTCAAACAACATAGCACCGGACGGGTCAGTGACAAAAGAGCTTCAGGGGAGTAACTACGCTGACGAACGAACTGGCTGAGAACTCTGGTATTGATAGCACCATAAACGGTTGGTTTGATAACATATTTGATAAATGGAAAACTATTGTTATAACTATTCTGGGTGAAGTTATAGCTTCTATGGGTATACTTGTTCTTTGTGGATGTTGTCTTATTTCCTGTGTCTGAGGTTTGGTGAGAAAAGGAGATGGGGAAGGTGGTTTCCCAACAGATGGTGAGATACGGCCAAATCCTGGACTCCAACCTAGGAATGAAGGATATGACCTACCAGGCTTGGTGGAGTGACACTAGAGGGTGTCTAAAGGGGGCCAAAATGTACTTCCCTGTTGGTGTTTTATGTTTTAATAATCTTATGTTTTGTGTTCTATTAATCCTGTGTTTTATGCTTTATTAATCAAGTTAACCATGTGAATGTTTGTCTTTCCTTGTGTGATGGTTTGAAGTTCTTTGATGACTGGTAACAATTTGCAAGTTGGGTGTAGATGGACTGAGGGTTTTAATTTTTTAGTATCATTATGGCCTATTAATAAAAGTGTGATTATTTTTGTTTGTATTGTATTTTAATGAGTGACACCCTAGAGGGTGTCAAAGGGGGGATTGTGAGAGATTTATTATGTTTATAATTGATGGGATGACTAACTTAGAAAGAATGCATTCTTGACTGGGCTAATGTAGGCTGTGACACCTGGCAAGCTGTGATTGATGTGAAGAGCTGTTTTAGGGGGTAAAGGGAGATAGGGATTTGTGTCTCCAAATGCTAGACTATACTGGTTCTTTGTGATCTGTGGACCTTCCTTGGACTTAGGAATGGTGTCTAAGGGAGCTGGCTCTTCTCACTATGACAGGTTGTTATGATATGGACATATGCCTGGTAACAGAGATGCATCAACGGATTGACTGAGTAAGTCTAAAACCACGCTCAAGTCTCTACTCTAATTGGTCAGCAGAGAGATGTGAAACTCCCTCTGTCAGAGTATTTGAGCAAGAACCCAGAACAATGGGTTAGTTCTCTGGGGTGCCCTGAGAGGTATTTCAGAGAGCCCGTATATACGAAACATCATATTTACCATTGAAGGTTTTTGCATTAATTAAAATAACTAGTATATCTTAGAAGTCGTGTTGACCTCTTTTGTTCCTAATACCAGATTTGAATTGACGCAACTTTGACACTGGGTGTGTTTGCAGTCTCTGTAAATCATTACACTGTGTGTGTGTTCTGCACCCATACATTGGAAACACCTATTTTCTATAAGGCTTTGTTTGCAACAGTATGTGTAACACACCTTATTTTATTCCTAGATATGCCTACTCCAAACCGGTCATCCTTAAAGGTTTCTCATACAATACGGTACGTGTGAATCAAAAAAGCAATTTAAAAAATTTACTCGTCACAGACTTTAATATCAGTCTAGCAATGGGCTCTGGTGAACGTAATTGTTTTGTTTTCAGAAATTCCAGTTCTTGTGCTCCAAGTCCAGCCTGCTCCAGGAGTATGGAGAGAGGATGGTGAGGCTCAGCACTGCCAACACCTACTCTTACAGGAAAGGTACACACACAGCTGTAGTTATTCTAGAAGGTATTCAGTGTTCTCTATTTGTAGTACATTACTTTACCTCTTCATTATCATTTAGTGGATGTCCGGTTTGAGGAGTTTGTGGACTTGCTGCTGAGGCCTCAGTCTTTAGACACACTGGGCAGTGGTGAGTTTGGTGTCTGGAACACCTCATGGTCATTGTACAGTACATGAGCTCAACAGGCAAACCATGATCTGTAACATAATACAACATGCTATGTGATCATGCTGAAAAGTCAAAGCATTAACAGAAACAAATTTCACACACAGCCAGACATCCTGTATCTCACCCGGTCTCTCTTTGACAGACACTCTGTATTTCTTCGGGGACAACAACTTCACTGAGTGGCGCTCTCTGTTTGAGAACTACAAGGCACCACGCTACATGCTGCCTCACACCACGGGGGCATACAGCTTCGGTATCGCAGGTCAGTGGATCTGTGGACCTGTATGGCTCAGTTAGTAGAGCTTCCCACAGTTGTGTCAAGTTGGCTGGATGTCCTTTGGGTGGTGGACCATTCTTGATACACACCGGAAACGGTTGAGTGTGAAAAACCCAGCAGCGTTACAGTTCTTGACACAAACCGGTGCGCCTGGCACCTACTACCATACCCCGTTCAAAAGGACTTCAATATTTTGTCTTGCCTATTCACCCTCTGAATGGCACACATACACAATCCATGTCTCAAGGTGAAAAAAAATCATTATTTAACCTGTGTCCTCCCCTTCATCTACACTGATTTAAGTGGATTTAACAAGTGACATCAATAAGGGATCATAGCTTTCACCTGGTCAGTTTGTCATGGAAAGAGCTGCATGTTTTGTAAACTCTGTGTAATATTATTATTCATATATTCTGGATTACACTATACCAGGGTCAAGGGTTGGATATCAGAATCATGATGTACAGCTGCAGTGGTGTTCAAGGTAGATTAAAATATGACGTTACCATCAGTAGCGGGGCGACTTGTACAGGACCCAAAGTACGAAGCAAGAGGCTAAACTCAGATGCATTTACTGCCACATGCAGCTATCAGGTTGCCAGAGAGCTGAACAAACCCCCATGCACACTGGTGTGTCTGTGTGAAGAGAAAGGAGGACATTTAATAGTGTGTGATACATACAGCCAGTTACTGTGATGAAGAACAGGCTGTCATCCTCTGTTAAAGCTTACCTCCTGTACCTTCTATCCACCCACCCAACCAGGCCCAGGAACAGGTGTACCCTTCCATTGGCATGGACCTGGCTACTCTGAGGTCATCTATGGCAGGAAGGTAAACAACACATGAACTGCCTATCAAATCATGGTCCACCCTAATGCTTGATCATGTCTCCTAAGAATATCTCACAATCAAGTCAAGTCAGATGTATTTAAAGTGCATTTCACATGGGTCACAACACACTTTACATCAATAAAACAACAATAGAACCTTGAAGAAGGGGGAATAATGGTGAAGAGGGGAAACGACCAACAAAATGAATGCATTGAATATACAACTGTCCCAGTGTCTATAATGACACCTGATTCATGTTTAAACATGGGTCCAGCACCAGTAGGTAGGCTGGTGTAAGCCTGAATCCAGGATCAGCCTGGCTGGCTGTTAGCCTTAACACGCTACACTACCTTATTGTAATTGATGCTGTAAGCCTTAATGCGCTACACAACCTTGTTGTAATTGATGCACGCCTGTTAAACACAACAGTATGAGATAGCGTTTTTTTCTCCAACCCCCACAGCGCTGGTTCCTGTACCCCCCGGAGAAGGCGCCCCATTTCCACCCCAACTACACCACCCTATCCTGGGTCAAAGACACATACCCTTACCTGCCTGAGGAGGAGAAGCCCACAGAGTGCACCATCCGTCCAGGAGAGGTCAGAAAACACATTTAAAACAACCATGAGGGTCACTACGTTTTGAGGTAAACATGACTTTTGAGCCATTGTTTTCACTGAATTGGGATGATAGGCTGCGTTCAGATTTGTCTTTTTGCCTTACCACGGCAACAGCAGGAAGAGGATAATAACTAGTATTAATAACTTGTCATTCTGATGTCACTGGCTTTTTGTGTTGTTGCTGATAGGTGCTGTATTTCCCTGACCGCTGGTGGCATGCCACGCTCAATTTGGACACCAGTGTCTTCATCTCCACCTTCCTGGGCTGACCCCTGATCCTGCAACAGACTAGAAGGTCATAAGGGTCATTGCCCATGGACAAAAGCCGTGTTAGAATACTTTCAACATGCATCATTCCTTTTTCCCTCTGTGAGGTAATCAGATTTTTTGCACATCCAGTCATATAGAATACAATACAACTTTATAGTCCATGTGTTAGTGATCGACGGAAATGTGTTTTGTGCTCTTCTCAACCCCCTCAGACAGCGCACAGTGGTTAGTGATTAGTGATGGTGAGCAGGAAGGACGCACTTTCAGAAGTATCATGTAAACTGGGCTGAAACGGCACCCCACCACAACACTCCTGTCAACCCAAAACTGCATTTCCTTATTTCTGCTCTGTCGTCATAACTTCTATGTAGATCACTCTTCAGAGACAAAGAAACAAAGCTGTCAAAGACTATTGGAACTTCTACTGACCTAAAGGAGAGGAGTGAATGTAGTTTATTGACTGTATTCCCTGGAAGTCACATACTGGTTTTCCAGCCCCAGAACTTTTACATCGGTTCCATTGTACCGGGCCAACTAGGACAAATGCAGCTCAAATATGACATTTATTTGATAATAAAGTACTTGAAAATAAAAGATGACCATTTGTGTCTTGATTTTCAATGCAAACACTGCAGTCTCTAAGTTGTAGCTTTTTTTTATTGGAACACTTGACATAACAGCACGACAGTGAAATAAAGAACATTCACAGTCCCAATGAGGGTCCAGAGAAACTTGACTGTACCCCTTTGGACCCAAGTTTCCACCCCCCTCTTAGGAGGAATCAGGGCCTAGGGGGAGAGTATGCCCCCCACCCCTATCCCACAAACACACCCCTACATGTACCCATAATAATGATACACATGACAGACTAACACAACAACTGTCCATCCTCACATCCAGCAGAGGGTAGGAATATTCAGGTTAATTTCAGATTCAATCATTTTCAGTTGGTAAGTCAAACAGGTTCGTATGGCTGAGAGGAATGTATGATTTCTGCAATGATGAGGAGAGGAAACTGATTATCTGTTTGCAGCAGGGTTGAGGGGTCGAAATGAAAAGGACCCATTTTTTATCAGGATATTTTAATTCATGAATTTGCTTTCTAAAATCGCCTGAATTAAAAAATGTAATTGACCCCAACCATGCTTTGCAGCCACTGGACTAAGGCTCTAAGTGTGGAATCACTAAAACAAGAGAGACCACAAGCAGTAAGTTATACTGAAGAGAAGACCGCCCTTCTCAAAGCCAATCAGATGACTGACTTCCATATTCTACTTCAAGCTCCACTTGAGGCACAGACAGGACACCACCTGAAAACATTCACCGACATGTAAACCAGAGAAGACACATTACAATTAAACACAGCCTTCAAAAACACACACCTACGACAATTTTAAACCAACCTTTTCAAGGAACATTTGGAATTTGGTTTACTTTTTGAATTGACTGGAATTGACCCCAACCCTGACCCCTACTGCTACACACTTCCGCATTAATTTACGCTCAAAGATCTGTATGAGCCAGATGAGTGGAAACAAAATGGTGGAAACTCAGCTAGTCAAAATTAGAGGAGACGTCCTTGGTCAAAAAACAACCCTTTGCTCAAAGCCTCCAATGCTCTTCCCGGACCCTTCCATCATATTGATTACACATATAGGTGCCCTACATTCTGCAAAACACAGAAGATGAGGGTTAGGGTTTCTTTCTATATTATACAACTCATGTTTATACAGTCTGTTTAGCCCTCCAAGAAGATATAGAGGTAAGTGCTGCATAGTGGTGGTAAGAGATCAGGATGGGTTTAAAATTGGCCCATCTACAGGCCACTCATCGAGCTGCCTCAGACAGTCCTCTTCCCCATAGAAAAGGAGATTTAAAATAGAAGACAAGTTGTGGAGCATCACCACAAGTAGAGTACATTTAGCCCTGATTGGTCAATCGCTGCATTTGTAGACTCGAGGTCTAGGATGTGATTGGGTCGCCGTGTTAGAAGTCTGCAATATAATAATAATATGCCATTTAGCAGACGCTTTTATCCAAAGCGACTTACAGTCATGCGTGCATACATTTTTGTGTATGGGTGGTCCCGGGGATCGAACCCACTACCTTGGCGTTACAAGCGCCGTGCTCTACCAGCTGAGCTACAGCTGAGCTACAGAGGACCAACAATATGATTGGTTGTTCTGAGTGCAACATTCAGGCGATTGGCCCAAGGTGTTGGGTACTAGATTCTGATTGGGTCCTGTTGTTGGATGATGTGCTCTGATTCGGTGCAATGTTTGGTAGCGTGTCCTAATTGTTGGGTCTGAATTTGTTCTGACTAGTATCAGCAGCTGAGAGACAGAATAAAATAAATGGGGACAAAAGATGGGAACAGAGAGAGAGATGGATAGATCAAAAGGAGATTTAATGGCAGTCCTAGTGAAGGTGTTTCAGTCTGTGGTGTAGTCTCAGTCCTAGTGAAGGTGTATCAGTTTGTGGTGTAGTCTCAGTCCTAGTTAAGGTGTATCAGTCTGTGGTGTAGTCTCAGTCCTAGTGAAGGTGTATCAGTCTGTGGTGTAGTCTCAGTCCTAGTGAAGGTGTATCAGTCTGTGGTGTAGTCTCAGTCCTAGTGAAGGTGTATCAGTCTGTGGTGTAGTCTCAGTCCTAGTGAAGGTGTATCAGTCTGTGGTGTAGTCTCAGTCCTAGTGAAGGTGTATCAGTCTGTGGTGTAGTCTCAGTCCTAGTGAAGGTGTATCAGTCTGTGGTGTAGTCTCAGTCCTAGTGAAGGTGTATCAGTCTGTGGTGTAGTCTCAGTCCTAGTGAAGATGTATCAGTCTGTGGTGTAGTCTCAGTCCTAGTGAAGATGTATCAGTCTGTAGTGTGGTCCCAGTCTCAGCTTTAAAGTGCAGATCATACTTGTTTGGTTTGTTGTCGTCTTTTTATGTCAGGTTCTTCTTTTGGAATGATTCCTCCTCCTCCCCCTCTCTCTCTCCCTCCCTCCCTCCCTCGTTCAGTAGTCCTCCACCCATCCATTCTCCATGATGAAAGCATCGATGACCTCTTTCATTGCCAGGTTAGGGATCAGCTGGTCTTGAGTCAGAGGGCTGCGTGTCACCGGGTCAAAATGGCCCACTCGCTGCAAGCAAAGAACAAACGCAGTCAGGATCCTATGGGTGACAATACCTTAATACCAGGGGTGAAAGTAGATGTAATTTCTTCCCTGTACAGGACCTCCTTACCAATAAAAATGTATGGGCCTAATCATAGAATTACACATCAAATCCCTATTAATTCAATAGCATCTCTGTGGGCCTAGTCGTAAAGATTTGTCACTTAAACTTTGAACATGTATTACAATTTATTGTGGCATAAACACAACCAGTTATGATGTTTTCATCTGATTGTCAAACAATCACTTCAAAGGGCTCCTTTACTAGTAGGCTACCAGCGCACGTTCATCCACTTGCAATATATTTCAATTCCAGCCTCCAAACAGTGGTGAATGGAAAGTGACACCTGTTACACAAAACACATAAGTCTAATTACATTTGGCGATTGTCATTAGGCCAGAATTAATGCGTACACTGCTGTTCGTGCATGTCTCGGTGTCGGCCACACATCTCTGCTTTGGCAAAATGTCAGTGTTCTCGTCAAATCACATCGCATTTTGGAGCGCTTTTCAAATCCATTCACTCATTTTTCATGCCTCTGACATGTGGTAATATGGTGTAATGGCCTAGTTTTCTTGACATTGTTTTAATTATTTTGATAGGGTCATGTTTACCGGTACGGCGTACCCCCACTATTTATTTTGCCGGGAAGCTGTACCGGACCTTACCTTCACCCCTGCTTAATACTTAATAATATTGCCACAGAAATTATGTGTAACTATTGTTTTACATGGTCAGTGATCCATTGTGGGTTTAAAGGAGTATTCTGGGAGATTCTATTTGGAGTACTCCTGCCTATCATTACCTAGTCTCTCTAGACATCCAGGTTGTCTCCCACAGTCGTTCCAGTTTAACATGTCTGTATGTAACAGAACGTCAGTTTGGCATAGAGGAACCACTTCACTGCCTACATCAACACCTTATCCGCTTGAATAAAATGCTAAATTGTAGCTAGCAAGATGGCGATCACAGATGTTATTTTTAATGAGCGCATTTCGCAAGTGGCTAGTTTGCATCAACCACCTTCACTAAAACCACTGCAAAGGTTTTGGTTTCAAATCATGACGTTCTGGCATGTCTGCCGCGTGATTTGTAGGGAGGGTTTTCCACCTTATCGAGGATGCCATAAGAGTCCATCATTCTAACCTGACCCTAGTCACTGCTGTTGCCTAGTGTTGGGTTTTATGAGCCTAATCCTTACCTGTAGGTGCTCCTCGATGTCTTTGCGGTCGTAAGTGATCCCACTGGGTGTAATGCAGGGCTCCCTCATCAACTCAAAGCTGATCTTTCCACACAGGTAGTCTGGGATCTCCCTCTTCTGTTAAACAAACAGAGGTTATAAAATATCAATACATGGCCATGCTAGACAGGAGGTCTACTGTGGTTACATATTTTAGTGTCTTGTACATTCTAACCCGGTATTTGTTATTAACAAAGGGCTTGGGTTAAGATTTTTTAAGGGTTTAGGAATAGAGTTGTTTCTAGTATGGCCAGAGTGATAGCCAAACAGAAACCATTGATGATGTATGGGCTAGTGCTGAATTCCAAACCCCTAGCCCCTACTCCACAGCAGACAAGCCGCTCCGGTAGATCTGAGAGGATTGGACAGGCGGAATCAATTTGGAATCATTTTCACCCAGCCAATCAGAAGGCAAGATGAAACTAGTAAGAACCTTGGTATTTATATCTCCCTATCACTCAGAGTGCAGGAGTGCCAAGGGTGTAGGGGCTAGGCTAGAGGACAGGGGTAAACAGATGTAAAGAGCATGGGAGTATGTCAATTGTATTTCCTCTATTCCTCTCTCTCCTCCTTCTCAAAAACCATTGGATGAGAAGGTTAGAGGGGAGGGACCTCTGACCTTCTCATCCAATGGGTTTTCGGAAGGAGGCGAGGAAAGGGGACAGGAGGAATCAAGGAAATGCAAGAGATTCTCCCCCTGATCCTGTATCCACCAGGAGGCAGTAGAGAGCACTCACCTTCCTCTTCTCATCCAGCTGAGAGAAGAGCTCCTCCATGTCTGACAGTTGCTTGTCCTGTAGAGAAATGTGACCCCTAATTTAAGATCACTTTATTTGTCAATTGTACACAGGGTCCAACCAAAATGTGACTTCCACTTTATCCCAAACCCTCTGAAAGACACACATACATGCAATAAGCTAGAATAAGACCAAACACGTTTTAAACGGGTTTAAAACATGTTCTGCTGCAGAGGCGTCATGCTCATAGGGGGCACAGGGGCACGTGCCCCCTCAGATTTGTCCTGTAAAAAAGCAAAGCACAAAACAAATGAATACATTTTTTATTTTTTCTCTGTAATACTACTAGCCACCTAGCAATTTTACGAAGTTGGCTTTAGCTAGCCCAGATAGGTTCCCAATCTCCCAACCTCATAACTAGCTACCAAGAAGCCATTTCAGGCTATCAATCAAGTTACAGTAGCTAGCTTGTCTAACTATCTTAGCTGGTATGCCTGCTGGCAAGGTTGGTAGACTAGAAAAGCAAGCAATAACTAAATGTACTGAATAAGACTCATATTCCTTTCAATCTTTTACCCCGATTTTAGCAGAGAAGCATTTTTTTTTTTACCACCAGTCAGGAGGATATAGACAGCTCAAGGTATGCTTTGCAAACTTTTTTTATTTTTTTTTTACATAGAATTAAGCATAAATGCTAAATTCTCCTAACACCCCTTTAGACCACCCCAGCCATCCTCATGTACTTTGTGGCCCCTCAGAGTTTTGGGGTGATTAACACCCCTGTTCTGTTGCATATCCTTATGAAAAAAAACTTGATCTTGATTAGTAAGGTTGTGTTAACATGTCGTTGGATTAAGACTTTGTTTCTGACTCTATAAATATGTTTAGCTGATGAAAGCCCTTTTGTTGTTGAACCATTTCTAGTCCTTACTTTCCCATTGTTATTTGTTTATACCCTGCGTCTGTGGACGTTAGCTGGATGTGCAACGTACATTACTCTTGGTACACTTGGTTTGGGACTCACATGTTTGGACTGGAACTTAGTGAGGTCGTGTCGGCTTCTGCATTCCTCCGACTTGCCGTCTTGTTCCTCTCTGCTGTCATCCAGTTCCCTGAGGACAGGACCAAAGTCATCCAAATCACTCTGCTAACTTCAACCAAAGTTTAGCTTATTGCAATATAAATGGATAGTATGGATTACTTCAGTAACTTCAACCAACCAAGGCTTAGCTTATTACAATATAAATGGATAATATGGATTACTTCAGTAACTTCCACCAACCAAGGCTTATTACAATATCAATGGATAGCATGGATTGTAGGCCTATAAAATGGATGGACTAACTGGTTTTACACACCAACTACAGTTGGGGGCATAAAAAAAACAAAAAAAACTCTCCCTCAGGGTGACGCCAAGCACAAAGTTAATTAGCAGTCATCTAGAGCATGGCGCTTGCAACATCAGGATAGTGGGTTTGATTCCCGGGACCACCGGGCATAAAAAGTATATGCTCGCATGACTGCTTTGGTTAAAAGTGTCTGCCAAATGGCATATATTATTATTATATTAATGCCCCCAACGGTAAGAGACCTTCTACAAACAAGGCAGGGAGAATGTAATGGTTTCCCACTGACTAATGGGAATTGATTGCGCAACTTTTATGGTTGTTCCATTTAAACTTGAGTGTTGTGGAGAAACCATTCTCTGATTCACAAACTGAATTTCAATTCATGTTCTGTAAATACACATATAGAACACAAGGCAGGAAACAAACTATAGGTGAGCACAGAAAAAATCCCTCACCTCTTCTTCTCTGCCAGGATGAGTTTGGTGAGATAGGCGTGCAGCTCGTTCTCCTGGTTAATGCGCTTCTCCTCGATGCTGTTCCAGCGCTTCTTCTTGGCTATCCGGAGGGCACTGGGAATGTCGTCGCCAAAGTTCAACCGTTGCTCTTTTGCCAGGTTATATGCTGATGACCAAATGAAGGACAACTATTATTATTAATGATATAATGATGTATTAGCTGGTAGAGCTGACTTTATCCAATGTCCTGTCAAGTAACTTAGAAATATATTTTGATGTGTGTATCTAGACTCCTGAATGGAAGTGTCTGGGGTGGGTGCATCTCAATGGTCTGAAGCAGGTTCCTCTCCTCATCTCCTCTCCTTCATCTCAATAGTATAATGTAGTTTCCTCTCCTCATCTCAGTAGTCTAGTAGCTTCCTCTCCTCATCTCCTCTCCATCTCAGTAGTTAGTAGCTTCCTCTCCTCATCTCAGTAGTCTAGTAGCTTCCTCTCCTCATCTCAGCAGTCTAGTAGCTTCCTCTCCTCAGTAGTCTAGTAGCTTCCTCTCCTCATCTCAGCAGTCTAGTAGCTTCCTCTCCTCAGTAGTCTAGTAGCTTCCTCTCCTCATCTCAGCAGTCTAGTAGCTTCCTCTCCTCATCTCAGTAGTCTAGTAGCTTCCTCTCCTCAGTAGTCTAGTAGCTTCCTCTCCTCATCTCAGCAGTCTAGTAGCTTCCTCTCCTCATCTCAATAGTCTAATAGCTTCCTCTCCTCATCTATCTCAATAGTCTAAAGTAGCTTCCTCTCCTCATCTCAATAGTCTAATAGCTTCCTCTCCTTATCCATCTCAATAGTCTAAAGTAGTTTCCTCTCCTCATCTCAGTAGTCTAGTAGCTTCCTCTCCTCATCTCCTCTCCATCTCAGTAGTTAGTAGCTTCCTCTCCTCATCTCAGTAGTCTAGTAGCTTCCTCTCCTCATCTCAGCAGTCTAGTAGCTTCCTCTCCTCAGTAGTCTAGTAGCTTCCTCTCCTCATCTCAGCAGTCTAGTAGCTTCCTCTCCTCATCTCAGTAGTCTAGTAGCTTCCTCTCATCAGTAGTCTAGTAGCTTCCTCTCCTCATCTCAGCAGTCTAGTAGCTTCCTCTCCTCATCTCAATAGTCTAATAGCTTCCTCTCCTCATCTCAGTAGTCTAGTAGCTTCCCTCTCCTCATCTCCTTTTGACACTTGTCCAGTTCTTTAAAATGAGTACAGATGAAGGAGAGAAGACAAGAGACCTGAGGTCTATGGGACAGGAAGACAACGGGACAGGAGGACTATGGGACAGAAGGTCTATGGCACAGGAGATCTATAGCACAGGAGGTCTATGGGACAGGAGGCCCATTTAGACTATTGAGATGCACCCTCTGTGTCTGGACCCTTGATTGCCACCTAGGCCCCCAGCCCACCTCTCTGCAGGTTACCGATGGCCTCGTCGTAGTTCTCCATCTCCAGGTGACACTGGCCCAGGAAGAAGAGGGCCTTGACTGACTGGGGGTCCAGCTCCAGCGCCTGCTTGCAGTCGGCCAGGGCCTTATCGTGTTGCTGCAGCTTCACGTGGCACAGTGCCCGGTTGGTGTAGTACACAGACACCGAGGGGTTCCGCTTCTGGAGACAAACACATTATTCACTATTTCTATCCCCTTTCTCATACCCTTATCCCATTCCTAAGTATGCCATGCTTACACACACACACTCTTCACTACAAGCGATAGCTGACTTCCTAGGTCTCGGGGTGAGGTTACTCATCATGCAAAGTTACAATTTTGTGCACTACCTCAGTTCCGCCCACACACACCTCAGTTCCACCCACACTCTCTCTCTTTCTTTATCTATCTCCAGACCCCTTGTCCTTACGATAGCTTTGCTGTAGCAGGCGGCCGACTCCTGGTACTTGCGGCTGAGGAAGAGGCGGTTGCCCTGCTCCTTCCACTCCTGCGCCGAGACACTCTTCTCGGGGCTGCCCGCCATTTTATCCGCCGGCCCCGCCGTGGCGGCGGCCTCTCCGCTCTGCTTCCCTATACTGCTACCCGTGTCTCAGGCCGAGCTGCGGCTGGCTGGGGGGAGAGGGCACAAGTACCAAGACATCAATAGTTTAGGTGGGGGGGGGTTTATTTGAGGGGTGTTGCCAGTCTACATCTATAAACAGTGATTGAGGGGTGTTGCCTGTCTACTACTATAAACAGTGATTGAGGGGTGTTGCCTGTCTACTACTATAAACAGTGATTGAGGGGTGTTGCCTGTCTACTACTATAAACAGTGATTGAGGGGTGTTGCCTGTCTACTACTATTAACAGTGACTGAGGGGTGTTGCCTGTCTACTATTATAAACAGTGATTGAGGGGTTTTGCCGGTCTACTACTATTAACAGTGACTGAGGGGTGTTGCCTGTCTACTACTATAAACAGTGATTGAGGGGTGTTGCCGGTCTACAACTAGAAACAGTGATTGAGGGGTGTTGTCGGTCTACTACTATAAACAGTGACTGAGGTGTGTTGCTGGTCTACTCTACTGTAAACAGTGTTTCCCAACCTGTAGCCAATTTGTCGTTCACTACTAGCACAATGTTTGGATAAAATAACAGGGGCTAGAGAGCTACATCGTTTGATTTGACAGTTACACTGAAGTAAAGATACAGGGAAAATAGTCAACTCTAGCTAGTTGGCAAGCTTCCAAATAGCTACAAGCATGACGCTAGCTAGCCTGTTACCGTTTCGATGCCCTCCCCTCAGGTGTCAAGCGGCCTCCACGACTTCGCTCTCGTCCTGGTTTTGGCCTCCTCTCACAGAGCTTGTCTGTCTACTTCTTCCTACGCAGACAGTTGAATATTTTGGAATATAGCTAGCTTGCAAACTGCCAAACGATATCGAAAAGCACAGCTATCCAAACATGTGTATAATCAATTGATACTATTTGGCATAGTGTAGTATGTAGTATTGCTTTAGCTGGGATGATACACTAATGCGTAGCCAGCTAATTTACCTAGCTAATAATGTTTTGATACATTTCTGGTAGTCATTGATGATGACGCATTTGTAAACGGAAGTGTTTTCAGTTAAAATTACGTCATCAACTCGCGCCTCATTGTTTTGGAAAGCAAGCATGGCTGGAACAGTAACTGGCGTAACTGTGCCTAAACATTCTTTGTCAAAACTACAATCTTTAAATGGACTTTTTGCCATTTATAAAAAGGAAGGACCTACGTCTGCTGATGTATTAAACTCATTAAAAGAGGCACTCCTCAAAGAGGCCGGTGTGAAAGATCCTAATCCCAGAAAGAGGAAGAAGCAAGTTTTGAAAATGGGGCATGGCGGGACTCTGGACAGTGCAGCCTCTGGTGTGCTCGTTGTTGGGATTGGAAATGGAACAAAGATGCTTAGTACTATGCTGGCTGGTTCAAAGAAATACATGGCTGTTGGAGAGTTGGGAAAAGCAACAGACACCCTTGACGCCACAGGCAATGTGGTTCATGAGAAGCTCTATGATCACATTACCAGGGAAGCCTTTGAGGAGAAGTTGAAGCAGTTCACAGGGGATGTCATGCAGGTTCCTCCACTGTACTCTGCGCTGAAGAAGGATGGCAAGCGTCTGTCTGTCCTGCTGAAGCAAGGCCACGAGGTGGAAGCCAAACCTGCACGGCCGGTCACAGTGTATAACTTGTCACTGCAGGACTTCACACCCCCCCTCTTCACTCTTGACGTTGAATGCGGTGGTGGATTTTATATCAGAAGCTTGGTGGACGACCTGGGAAAAGCACTCTCGTCGTGTGCCCACGTGAGGAAGCTGATCCGGACCAAACAGGGTCAGTTTACCCTTGACGCCCACACGCTGCGGGAGGAACACTGGACACTGCAGCACATTGTTCAGTCCATGCAGCCCTGTCCTGGGTCAGAGGTCACCAAGGAGGATGGCACAAGCCAAAACCTGGGGGTTAAACTGAACGCCCAGGTGAAGGGGGATAAGAATGGCAAAGATGAAAAAGGGGCGTTATAACCCCTCCCCCTCAGTCACATTGTCCCCTCTCTATATGAGAGCTAAAGGCTGCGTTTTGGTTATCTGCCCCTCCCCGGAGGTGTACACGTCTTCTCTCCCTCTCATGCATGTAAAAGCATTGGTTTGGTGCAAGCATGGCTGGAGGGAATTTACAACATATTCCTCATGCCGGTCCATTCTTTGGCGAAAGCCAGTTGAAGGCAGTCCCTGCACTGTTACATGCATCATTTCTGTGGATGTGTATATTACTAGAACATTATATCATGTCATTGGACATGACTGAAGACAATTTTAATGTTTTTTGTTTTGTTTCTAGATTAAATAATACATTTTGCATTTTTAAATATTGGTTTTATTTTGTTGAATTGTACTATATCTCATTTTTTCATGCATTTTGAGGTTTTGTTTGGAATATTTTTACTTTCAAAGATCTCTACACCATCTAGTGTTGGCACAAGATAAGACATGGAAGCAACTTGAAATGTAACTCCCATACCTTTCTAACTGACATGTCAGAATTAATAAACAATAATACAAGTATTTTGTAAATGTTTTGTTGTAAACACAGAGATAGTGTTTCTCCTATTTAGGTCATAATAGCCTAGTCATGTTTGGTTTTCTTAGTATGTTCATTGGGGCACCAAGAAGCCTTGCACATATGAAGTTGCTAGAGAGCACATTCAAATCCTCAATAAGACATTGGTTAAATTCAATCCACTGTAAATTCATTTGAGGATACTACACTGAACTAAAATATAAACACAACATGTAAAGTGCTGGTTTCATGAGCTGAAATAAAAGATCACAGACATTTTCCATTTCCACAAAAAGCTTATTTCAGTCTAATTTTGTGCACACATTTGTTTACATCCCTGTTAGTGAGCATTTCTCCTTTGCCAAGATAATCCATCCACCTGACAGGTGTGGCATATAGTTCCCGCCAATATCCAGCAATTTCATACAGCCATTGAAGAGTGGGACAACATTCCATGGGCCACAATCAACAGCCTGATCAACTCTATGCAAAGGAGATGTGTCGCGCTGCATGAGGCAAATACTGACTGGTTTTCTGATCCACGCCCCTACTTTTGTTTTAAGGTATCTGTGACCAACAGATGCATATCTGTATTCCCATTCATGTAAAATCCATTGAATAGGGCCTAATTAATTAATTTAAATTGACTGATTTCCTTATATGAACTGTAACTCAGTAAAATCTTTGAAATTGTTGCGTTTATATTTTTTCAGTGTATTTAAAAATGCAACTATTTATATAAAAAAACTGTTAGCGCTGACAGTAATGTTAATGCCAGTTGGGATGGCACTAGTAGACAGTGGCCTTTTCTCATTTAGGAAAAAGTCTGTCCTCCACCCTCTCCTCCATCCACGCTCCTCTGTGACTGGTGGAGGAGAGGTCAATTTGTTAGTAGGCAAATGGAAGAGTGTCCTCCCCTCCTCTATAGCCACCTTTCATCAAGGATAGTCATGTGTATCCTACCAGAGTCCTTCGCAGAGGAGTTTTTAAATCTGCCACAACCCCTTGAATCAGCTTTTGTTTTGTCAGAGGACAAAAGTAAGCACATGTTTAATAACAATATGCCACTTACCGTTGTATCTATACATTGTCCTGCACAACTATATTTGTTTATATCACTTAACACATTTATTTTGGGATCCACCCGTTATGGTCATTTGCCTGATGATGCCACGTGGAGGAGTCCTCGCTGCCTCTCCTCGATTACCTTTGACCTTTTTCAAAAGGAGGTGAGAGAGGACAGAGGAGAGAGGATGCAAGAGTTAAGCAAATTCTATTGAGAAAAGGCCAGTGATCCAGCTACATGGCAGAAGTCACATGATGATCCACCTCCAGGGGTAAACCCAATCTCTCCACGAATTAAACCGAAAAACTATGTTATAAGTGAGAAGTAGGTCAATTCAGTAGGTCATTAGTTAAATTCTATTCTCCAAAAGGAAGTGGACTTATTAGTAGTATTAATTCAGACATGCACTGCTGTCAGTTAGAAAAGGATTGAGTTACACATTGCAAGTCGCTTCCATGTCTTACCTTGTACTAGCACTAGATGGGGTAGAGGGCTTTGAAAGTAACCATATTTTTAAAAAACTCAAAATGCATGAAAAAAATAAGATATATTACAATTCAACAACATTATTTCATCTAGAAACATAGTAAAACGTTTTTCTTTTTAAACATTACATTCTTTAGTCTTCAGCCAATTACAATGACATGTAGTAATGGTGTAAAACAGGTTGCTATATTAAATTATACAACAGGTGGGTCTAATCCTGAATGCTGATTGGTTAAAACCACATTCCAGCCGGCTTCTCGGGCATTATCACTTTAATCATGTTCTAGTAATATACACATCCATAGAAATGATGCCTGTAACAGTGCCGGGACTGGCTTTGCAATAAAGAGGAGGATGTGTTCAACAGCAAGGTAGGAGAGAAGGAGGTGTACTACTACTACGTAGTAGTACTACGGTTGGGTGTTGAATACATTTATACAACAATTGCATTAATTGACTGATTTATTGATTTTATTTGCCAGTTAAAAACACACACACACACACACACAGTACATACTGTAGATTTTAAGAAACGTGACATCACAAAATGTAAGACTTATTTCCATTGTCGTTCCTAATGTGCATTGAGCAAAAACGTTACATTACATAGATACATTATATACATACAGACACTTCAGAAAGTATTCACACCCGTTTACTTTTTCCACATTTTGTTACAGCCTGATTAAATTGAGATGTTGTGTCGCTGATCTACACACAATACCCCGTAATGTCAAAGTGGAATTTAGTTTAGACATTTTGACAAATTAATTAAAAATGAAATGCTGAAATGTCAATAAGTATTAGTTAGAGTTTAATGGTTGTGATATGAGAGAACTGAGGATGGATAAACAACATTGTAGTTACTCCATAATACTAACCTAACAGCATTCCGTCCTAGCGTTACATTGTCTCCGGCCCCGTTCCTCTCTAACCGCTTGTAGGCCATGCCTATATGTACGTCGTGCAGACACTCAACCTCCAGGTAATGCCGCCCGCCGAGGTCCTCCTTGCTCAGCACCTGGTTGCATTCATCGAACCGCTCTTGGGTGCTGGGATAGTCTCGCTCCTTCCTCTGGCGCGTCACTTTCCTGTTCCCCTCGAACAGGGACAGGAAACAATTTGCTGTGCTGGGGTCTAGTGTGAGCTCACTGGCATCTGAAATGTGCAGATTATAAGTTTCAGTTACCTGCTACACAAGCTTTGCTGTCACACTTGACACTATTATAAATTGGTACATGGTCCTCTTATATGTCAAATATTCTACAGAGACCACTGTCAATCACTGTGTTCGTAAAGGTGAGAATGACAAATGGATATTTACTCACATTTCTTCAGACCTGGTTTATTCCTGCTCTCTCCTGTGTGGTCCATGCTGAAAGATACATAATAAAGAGGAATGAATGAAAGCCTGGAAATGCTCATACTACTCAGGGGATGCAGTATAATGACACTAGGATGTAACAAGGCTCATAGCTAGAAGGTTTCATTTCTTTAATTAAATAGTTTAATTGATAAAGTTCTAATCTCTCAATGTTTAGCTCTACTCATTCATATTTTATTTAGAAGCATATTTGTATTTTTACTCAATCTAAACTCACTTCAGCTGTAGCAGGAAATCCAATTCAACGTATCTGAGGGGATTGTAGCTCAGATCCAGCTCTTTCATCTGGAAGGGTTCTGACCTCAAAGCTATGGCCAGGACAGAGGACACGTTCTCAGGCAGTGTGATCAAACAACCAGAGCCTGTAAATGAGAATAGGAAAAATAATTATGGAAAAAAATACAAATTTGTTTCAACATTAAAACTAGAAACATTGAACATTGAAGAACCATCTATATCCATAGGGCAGCACAGAGATCAGCACAGAGATGAACCCCTTCAAATGTGTTTGGTACTGCTGTACATACCTCAGCGCTTGCAGCTTGCAACGCTTGTGGAGGGCAAACGCAAGCAACTCTGCCCCCGGGTCCCCAAGGTCATTGCAGCTGAGGTCCAAGTTCAGAAGTTTTGAGGTGGGACAAGTCAGCACTTTGCAGATTGCCTTGACACCTCCAACTCCCACATGATTGTGGCGTAGATTCAGGGTTTCCACCTTGCAGTTGGGGTTCCGCAGCTCACAGCAGAGGCGGATCACCCCTTCATCGCGCAGGTAGTTGTGGCCCAGGTCCAGGACTGTCAGACGAGAATTCTCAGACTGGAGAACTGAGGATACAGTTGCACACTCCAGTGCTGTGATGTCACAAAAGTTGAGCCTGTGAAAAAGATTGAGTTCATAATTGCCATTACAAACTTTCAATTTATAATTGACGTGCGATTTAAACATGCTACACAAATAGTGAGTGATACTTACAACGTTCTAGTGCAAGACAGCAAAGCAGGAGCCAGTCTGCGAAAAGCTTCCTCCGAAGTTTTGTTATTCCTGAAGTCGAACTCTTCAGGCTTCTCTGACATAATGAACATATATGCCAGGAGAGAACACTGAAATGGAGTTGGCTGTGTGTCTGAAGGTGAGACTTGGTTGTTGTCATTCTGTAGTATGGTGTAGTCCTTCAGCTGAAGCAGACAGTGGATCAAGTTGATGCATCTCTCTGGAGAGAGGTCCTTCCTTTTCAACATCTTGATATATCCAATTAACTTTTTGTTGCATTCTGAACTGCTGGTTGTTTTTCCCAGAATGTCTTGAAGGAGGTCCCGGCTGGAGTCGTGAGATATCCCAAAAAGGAAGCGTGTGAAAAGGTCCAGGTGTCCATTTTGACTATCTAATGCATTGTCGAGCGCACCTTTGAGGAAATCTAACAAAGTGCTCCCTTTCCTCTTTTTGATTAAGGCTTTCACTGAGTCAATCCTGCCATTTTCAAATTCATGAAATACGTACAGAGCAGCAAAGAACTCCTGAACACTTAAGTGTACAAAACAATACAGCTTCCTTGGATACAGTCCATGCTCTATGTCACGGTTTCGGCCGAGGCTGCCTCTCTCCCTTGTTCGGGCAGGCTTCGGCGTTCGTCGTCTCCGGAATTCTAGCTGCCACCGCTATATGTTTCATGTTCGTTTGCTTTTGTCTGTTTGTTTCCACACCTGTTTCTGTTTTGACGTAATTAGTGTCCTATAAGTTTCTCGTTGTGTTTGTCTAGTGTTGTGTGTGATTGTTTCCGTCAGTATTGTGTTTTGCTCGGTTGAGCGTATTTCTCCACTGTGCTGGAGCTTATTTGCACCTGTGTGTGCACCGTTACATTTTGTCGCACCTGTTAGTGCGCAATTACCTTTCGCCATTCGTGCGTGGTTTTGCTGTCGGGCTTAGTTGTCCTGTTGCCTGTGTTGGGCCAGTATTACAGCCTTTGGAACATTCAGTCTGCGTCCTGCGTTTGATTCCTACATTACACCTACAACACGCCCTGACAGAATCACACACCACCAATGGAATCAGCAGGAGCCGAAGCAGCCCAGACGAGACTGGAAGCCCAGGTTCGGGACCAGCAAGAGCAGCTCCTGCAGATGGGGACCGCCCTGCAGGAGGTGATTACTACACTCCGAGGCTGGGGTTCGCCTCCACCGCCGCCCGCCCTGCCAGCACCATCGGCCAGCCCGCCCATTCCAGCGCCGGAACCTCGAGGAGTCCGACTATCTCTCCCGAGGGCCTACGACGGGACCGCGGCTGGGTGTCAGGGATTCCTGCTCCAGGTAGAGCTATACCTGGCCACAGTGCACCCGGCACCTTCAGGGCATGAAAGCGTGTCCGCCCTGATCTCCTGCCTGGCCGGAAAAGCGTTGGAGTGGGCCAACGCGGAGTGGAGGAAGATCGACGCCACGACGATTACGTACACCGAGTTCTCCCGCCGCTTCAGGGCGGTGTTTGACCATCCCCCGGAGGGGAAAGCGGCGGGGGAGCGTCTGGTCTTCCTCCGGCAGGGGAGGAGAAGTGCCCAGGAATTCGCGCTCGAATTCCGTACTCTAGCGGCAGATGCAGGGTGGAATGATCGGGCCCTCATCGATCTATACCGATGTAGCCTACGAGAGGACGTCCGTCGGGAGCTGGCTTGTAGGGACACCAGCCTCACTTTCGACCAGCTGGTTGATATGTCCATCAGGCTGGATACCCTGCTGGCTACCCGCGGACGTCCTGCGGAGGGTCCGTCCATTCCACCCTCCAGCGCCTCCGAGCCGTGTCCTATGGAGCTCGGGGGCGCTGGCGCTAGAGAGAGGAGGAGTCGGCAGGCTAGGGGGTCCATCCACTGCACCAACTGTGGTCGGGGAGGACACACCACGGCTAGGTGCTGGGGATGGCCTCCTAGGGGAGATGACGACAGGTCCCGCACTGGGGATTCCCTCCAGGTGAGTAGGCGCCCCACTCACCCAGAGCTCACTGTTGCCCATTTTTGTATGCCTGTACGTTTTCCACAGGTAGCACCTCATTCCCAGCATAAGGCGCTGGTAGATTCAGGCGCGGCTGGGAATTTTATTGATAAAAAGTTTTGTTTAGCGTTAGGGATTCCCCTCATTCCTGTTGATGTTCCTTTTCCCGTTCACGCCCTAGATAGTCGTCCGTTGGGTACGGGCTTAATCAGGGAGGTCACGGCGCCACTTAGGATGTGTGCGCAGGGGGATCATCAGGAGATGATTCAGCTGTTCCTGATTGACTCTCCTGCGTATCCGGTGGTGCTGGGCATGCCCTGGTTGAGTACCCATAACCCAGCGATTTCGTGGCAGGAGAGGGCTCTGATGGAGTGGTCTGCTCAGTGTGTGGGTAGATGTTTGGGGCGTTTCCGTAGGGGCTACCTCGGTGGAGAGTCCAAACCAGGTGCCCGCATTGCACGTTCCACCTGAGTATGGGGATTTGGCTATTGCGTTTTAGTAAGGCGAGGGCGACGCGGTTGCCACCCCATAGGCAGGGGGATTGTGCGATAAACCTCCAGGCAGGAGCTGCGCTCCCACGGAGCCATGTGTATCCTCTGTCTCAGGAGGAGAAGAAAGCTATGGAGATTTACATAGACGAATCGCTGAGACAAGGATACATACGGCCGTCCACTTCCCCCGCGTCCTCGAGTTTCTTTTTCGTGAAGAAAAAGGATGGTGGTTTGCGTCCGTGCATCGATTACCGTGGTCTCAATCAGATTACGGTGAAGTATAGTTATCCACTCCCGCTGATTGCGACATGACTGAGTCGTTGCATGGGGCGCGTTTCTTCACGAAATTAGATCTCAGGAGCGCGTACAACTTGGTGCGCATCAGGGAGGGTGATGAATGGAAAACAGCCTTTAGTACCACCTCGGGCCAAAAAGGTGTGATGACGCTCCGTCAGTTTCAATCATTGGTGATGAATTTAGGATGCAGGCAGGGGTGGTTGGGTCCCATTGATGACGTTCTCGTGTTTTTTCACAATTTAGTGTCGAGCATGTGCGCATAGTGGAGGGTGTTGGGAAAACAGCCTGGTGGAGCCAACACCTGTATTAAGCGAATGGTCTGCCTTTTCCATAAAGTCCGTCGTTTTCCTTTTTGGGATATCTTTCGGGAATCAGGGGCAGTGGGGTGGTGTGGCGTACGTGAATTGGCAAACACCTACCCTGTGAAGGAGGTGCGCAGGTTTTTGGGGTGTTGCAAATTATTAAGGAGAGTATGGTTGTTTTGACCAGGCAGCTCGCTCCTTTGTTGAGGGGGGCCCGGGTTTGGTCTGCGTGGCGGCAGAGGCGGTAGAGGGTTTGGGAGCGAAGGCATGTTACCCACCACTGTGGATGGCGCAGCCAGATTTTTTTCCCATTCCAAACAGGGGGTTTACCGCGTCGGAGGCCGGTTTAGGAGCCGTGCTTTCACAACGGTCTGGCGCGCCACCTAAACTCCGCCCCTGTGCTTTTTATTCTAAGAAGCTCAGTCCGGCGGAGCGGAACTATGACGTAGGGGACAGGGAGCTGTTAGCCGTGGTACAGGCTCTAAAGGTGTGGAGGCACTGGCTTGAGGGGGCTCAACACCCTTTCCTCATTTTGACGGACCACCGTAACCTGGAGTACATCCGGGCGGCGAGGAGGCTGAACCCTCGCCAGGCAAGATGGAGTATGTTCTTGACCAGGTTTACTTTTAAGATCACGTACATCCCTGGGTCACAGAATGGCAAGGCAGATGCGCTGTCTCGGCGGTATGACGCGGAGGAGAGGTCCGTGGAGCCCACTCCCATACTGCCTGAGTCGTGTCTGGTGGCACCGGTAGTGTGGGAGGTCGATGCTGAACTCGAGCGGGCGTTACGCACCGACCCTAGTCCACCACAGTGCCCGGAGGGTCGGAAGTACGTTCCGCTCGAGGTTCGGGATCGATTGATCTATTGGGCTCACACGTCACCCTCCTCTGGACATCCGGGTATCGGCCGGACAGTGCACTGTCTTAGTGCCAAGTACTGGTGGCCCACGTTGGCAAGGGATGTGAGGGTTTATGTTTCCTCCTGCTCGGTGTGCGCCCAGTGTAAGGCGCCTAGACATCTACCTAGGGGTAAGTTGCTACCCCTGCCCGTTCCACAACGGCCATGGTCCCACCTCTCAGTGGACTTTATAACAGACCTTCCCCTCTCCCAAGGGAATACTACCATCCTGGTCGTTGTGGACCGGTTCTCTAAGGCCTGTCGTTTGCTCCCCATGCCGGGTCTTCCTACGGCCCTGCAAACTGCCGAGGCACTGTTTACCCATGTGTTCCGGCACTACGGGGTACCCGAGGACATTGTGGCTGATCGGGGTCCCCAATTCACCTCCAGAGTCTGGAGAGCGTTTATGGAGCGGTTGGGGGTCTCGGTGAGCCTCACCTCGGGTTACCACCCGGAGAGCAATGGGCAGGTGGAACGCGTAAACCAGGATGTGGGTAGGTTTCTCGGAACATACTGCCAGGACCGGCCGGAGGAGTGGTCAAGGTACGTTCCCTGGGCCGAGATGGCCCAGAATTCCCTACGCCATTCCTCCACTAACCTAACTCCATTTCAATGTGTGTTAGGTTACCAGCCGGTTCTGGCACCCTGGCAGCAGAGCCAGATCGAGGCTCCTGCGGTGGATGAGTGGGCGCGGCGCTCGGAGGAGACTTGGAACGCTGCACACGTCCACCTGCAGCGGGCCCTCCGACGTCAGAAGGCGAGCGCTGATCTCCACCGCAGTGAGGCACCGGTGTACGCACCTGGTGATCGAGTCTGGCTCTCTACCAGAAACCTGCCCCTCCGCCTGCCCTGTCGGAAACTGGGTCGGCGGTTTGTAGGGCCATTTAAAGTCCTGAGAAGGTTGAACGAGGTATGTTATAGATTACAGCTACCTGTGGAGTATAAGTGTATTAACCCCTCGTTCCATGTGTCCCTTCTCAGGCCGGTGGTAGCGGGCCCACTCCAAGAAGATGAGATCTTGGAGACTCCTCCGCCCCCGTTGGACATCGAGGGGGCACCGGCGTACTCCGTGAGATCCATCTTGGATTCGAGACGTCGGATGGGGGGTCTCCAGTAT